CCACCTGTACATAGGCGTCGGGCACCCTGGGAGCACCAGGCGGGTTTGGCGGTCCCTTGTCCCCTCCCTGTCCTGTCCTCGGTGTCCCCACCCTGTGGCAGCGTGGAGAAGGAGCCGCGGGGCCGGGGGCTGCCCCTCCTGGCGTTGGCAGCGACGGCGTTTTTATCGATGAGAAACAGAAGCAAAAAAATAACAAAGAACCAAAACAAACCCAAAAACACAGAAAAAAAAAAGAGAAAAAAAATCTGTGTTGGTGGATTTAACTGGGGTTAAAGTCTGGGGGTTGGGGAGGGCAGGGGATGGTGGGGAAGGGATTGGGGCGTGGGGAAGGGAGGGGATTGTAGGGAAGGGATGGGGCACAGGGAAGGAATGGGATTGTGGGGAAGAGAGAGGCATGGGGGAAGGATGGCATGGTGGGGAAGGAATGGGGACGCAGGAAAGGGATGGAATCATGGGAAAGGGACGGGGGCACTGGGAAGGGGTGGGATGGTGGGGAAGGGAGAGGTTAACAGGGAAGAGATGGTGGCACAGGTTAGGATAGGACCATGGGGAAGGGATAGAATTGAAGGGAAGGGATAGAATTGAGGGGAAGGGATGGAATCATGGGGGAAAGTGTTAAAGGGAATTGATATGGCTTTGGGAAAGGGCTGGGTCTGTGGGAAGAGAATCACATGGCAAAGGGATGGTGCTGTGGAGTGGGGACCACACCATGGAGAAGGGATTGTGCCTCAGGGATGGGACCCCACTGAGGGGATGCTGCAGGGACTGAGGCTACAGCAAAGACTCAAATACGAAGGAACCTCCCAGGGATGGTGTTTTATTTCAGCCCAAACCGATCCCAATAATTCCACAAACAGAGGCAGTGTTGGATGGCTGCATCCTGCCGTGCCCCAGCCTGGATGAAAACCCACTTGAGAAGCCCCAGAGGGTCCTGGGGCTCAGCATGGGGGTGAGGGGCTGGCAGGGGTGGCTGGGCACTGAGGTTCCCCATGGCCTGGGAGCTTTCCAGGTTGGTCACAATTTCAGCCAGGATTTATAAAAGAAATTAAGAATTGACATAAAAATTACCCTGGTTAGGTACAGTCACCAGCTGAGACCTGACAGGCTCATCACACCAGTGGGTGCAGCCTCAGTGTCACCTCTGCCATGTCACTGCCCTCTGTCCCCCCTGGAGGGACCCCAACATCTATCCATTCCCACTCATCCCACACCAGCTGCTCCATGTCCCCAAGGGGGGCCCAAACCCAGGCTGGTGACTGTCCCCTCGCCACCCACTCTGCCACCCAGCCCTTGGGGCTTTTTTTGATTAAGTTTGTGAGGTTTGGTTATTTGTCCCTTCCTTAAACAAAAACTAAATCCAGTCACTTCCCCAGGATCCCGGCAGTCACTCAGCTGTACCCTCAGCTGTGAGGGGACATCCCACGAGACACGGCCACATCCCCCTGAATCTCCAGCATTGCTTGGAAAGATCGGGGGAACCACAGGGGTCAGGTCCTGCCTCAATCCCCTCCACAGCCACGGTGAATTCCTCTGAAAAATAATCATTCCTGGGAAAAAGCAAATAAAAAGAGAGGCTCACGGTCCTCTCCCAACTTCACCGAATTCCCAGTGGGTGCTCTGGCCCAGCTGGAGTCAGAAAGGGGCCCCACTGTTGCCTCTGGGTGGTGGGATGGACGCGGCAGTGATTGCTCTGAAGAACCAACCAAGGTGACGAGTTTGACAAAATAAGTTTATTTCGCTTCGCTTCGTTTCTGCCGAAACCTCACATTTTTCTTTT